AAATGATTTATGCATAGCACCCGCAGCAAAATGATACTGCCCCCAGGGCTAATTTTACATTCAGTTTCCAAAGTTTTACTATCGTCTGAATCACACAGTGTTGAGTCACAAGTTATGAGTGTTGTAAATACAACATGAGCCTGGAATAGGGCAGATATTCCCAGAGGGATGATGGGAAAGAAAAGGTAACCATAGTTACCAACAAAATCCAAACATCAACTGAGAGACATGAAGCCTGAGAGACTGAACGATTTTCCATGACTTGAGTTCCTGCTGGGCTCACAGTGTGGACGTGCACATAGGAGGTCTCACACACATATACTGGACTGTGTACAGGTGTGCACACACAGTGTGGATGAGCACACAGGAGGTCTCACACATATATACTGTACTGTGTAGGGGTGTGCACACACAGTGTGGACATGCACACACAAGGTGTCACACATATATAGTAGTGTGTACGGGTGTGCTCAGAATGGATATGCACATACAAGGTCTCACACATGTACATTGTACTGTGTACAAGTGTGCACACAGTGTGGACATGGACACGTGGTTTCTCTCTCTCACACACACACTCACACATGGTACTGGGCACACCTGGACAAGGAGCCCCGTACGTGGGGTCTGTGTGTCTGCAGCTCTCCCAGGCTGGATTTTCACTGAGCTTTGTCACCTGCAGTACTGAGCACAGGTCACCTCACAGGTCAGTTAGGCATTAAAATGCCTCTCTGGGGTGCTAAGCCCATAGTTCTGCTGTCTAGTGGTCTTCCTACGCTGTCCCCATTTCTCTAGTTGTCTCTGTCTGTCCCCATCCATCCATGAATCAGACAGCCTCCACACATCCATCTTGGATTCTGTGCCCTGCAGAGAGACCATGTGATACCCGAAGCCTGAGCTCCGTACAGGGTCAGCACTGAGCCCCACACTGCCAGGACACAGGAGTCACCGCTGGGAAGACTGAGGTGGCCACATGGGCAGTCAGGGCAGTGTGGAGGGGTCTGTCCAGGGCATCCTGGGCTGCACAGTGCCTGCACCATTCATGCCCTGCTTTACCCTCATCCTGAGCCCTGCGTCTGTGATGGAGTGGCTGCTCCAAGGCTCCTTTCAGTCTCAGCTCAGGGAGCTGCACTTGGCTTCCTCTTTCTATCACAGTCTCTTATCAGAGCTCCTAGACCACTCCAGCGTTCATGCCGAAGCTCATCTCTCTGCTCTGTCAGGTTTTCTGTTTACTTCTTCTCTCCAGCTAGTCCTGGGCCTTGAACCTGGGCCTGGACTCCTTCCTTGAGCTATGTTTGCTCAGGGCTCCCCCTCTACCACCAGAGCTAGCACCAAGCCTGGCTTTGTCTGTGACTAATGGGATATCAATGTCTTGTGGAATTTCTTGAATAGGGCAATTTTGAACTGTGATCCTCAAATCTTAGCCTCCTGAAAGCTAGGATGACTGGTGTGAGCCACCAGTGTTGGGCCACTTTTTCTTTTCAAATTAGCTTGTATCAAGTAATGGCTTTCCTTATGACATTTTCACA